TTATAATGTAAATATCTGATATGTAGGATATCTGATATGGAATCCCCCAAAGAGGTCGTGACCCACAGTTGATAAATGCTTCTTTAGAGGAACATAACCTATGTCAAACCTACAACAAAGGCTATTTAATAGCTTGGTGTACACAGTATGGTCCTGGTAGTGCAACAACATCTGTCTGTATACAGGCGAAACAAAGAATTACACAGCTGCTCAGCCACAAGGAAGTCTCATCCATTCTAGCCTGACACTGCTACTGGTCTTCAGTTCACACCGGAGGGAAAGAGCTAGGCTCAAGTGTCAGCAAATATGGCCACAGCAGTGCCAGCAACAGGCTAGAAGCACATAACAGCAAGGAGAAAAGGTGATCAGGAAGAAATCACTAGCTGTTCCCTCTGACCTCCTCCTTTCTGGGCATCTGCTGGAAGATGCCCACACCACACCAGAGGAGTGCTCTCACCCTTACCTCCCTCACACACTGACCCAGCCAGAACGTGTCTCTTACTTGATTACAGATTCAATCAAGTTGACAACCAAGTTTAGCTATCACAGTGGCTAAGATCTGTGAAGAACTAAGCTACCTGGATCCCACCTATGCTACGAAGGACGGTGTCGTTCTCTACCACTCTTCCTTAGGACTCTAGTTTCTGAGGTGTGGGCTGAGGGGAGTCCCGGGTTGCTCTGCTGATGTTTGGGTAGGCTTATGCCATGCTGAAGAGTCTTTGGTAAGGCTATTGTTATGCCAGGAGCAGGTAGAGAGGAACTGGAGGACAGCAGGAGCCTAGTTAAGACCAGCCATTATAAAGACTGTGGCTGGAAACTTTCTCAGAGTTCTAAGAAACTCTGGAAACCTCTGGAGGCATGTCTCTTGACTTGCGGGACTAAGTTGTAACTTACTTCTTGCTGGTCTCCCCGTAGACTTTTATTCCATTAATCAAAGAGTCTCATTTATAACAAACTATTTTTATATATTCTTTAAATTATTTTACATCTATACAATGTATTTTGATCATATTCATCTTTCACTTTCCACTTCTAGCCACACTGTTCAGCTCCTCCAACACGATTTCTTCAAATTTCATGTCTTCTTTTTAAAAATAGTTCTTTTTATAAAAAAAAAATGCATAACTCGCTGAATCCAGTTAGGGCTGTCATTGAGCACACAGCTGAGAGGCTATCTAGTGGACTGTGGGCAACATACCTGGGGCCTCTCATGAGGAAAAAGGATTCTTCCTTCCCTAGAAGCAATCAGTTGCCAATAACTCCTTATCTACATCCTCTGGAGCCCTTCATCACCCATGCTGGGATTTTGACTGATTTGATATTGTGCATGTAACCACATCTATAGTATGGCATCAGCATCAGCAGCCTCAGGGGAGAGTAAGAGATGGAGATGGAGATGGGGATGGGGATGGGATGAGGATGGGGATGGAGATGGGGAGGGGGAGGGGAAGAGGGAGCAAGGGGAGGAGGGGAGGGGAAGGGGATGGGGAGGGGAGAGGAAAAATAGGAGAGGGGAGAGTGGAGAGTGGATAAAAAGCCTGTGTGGGTACATATGGAGGGCAGCATTTGATGTCATGACGTCTTCCTCAATAGCTTCTCTACCTTAGATTTTGAGACAAGGTTTGTTCACTGAGTCTGCAACTCATCCTTTCAGCTGAACTGGCCAATTAAGGAGCCCCAGGAAGTGCATCACTGTGGTTTACCTCTCTTCTAGCTTCTTATGTGGGGGCTGGGGGATTTGAACTTGGGAACTTGTGGTTAGAGCCAGTCACTCTTTTTGATGTTGAGACTAGAGCTTTGTCCATGCTAGCCAAACATTCTGCTACTGATTTCTGACTTAAGTCCCACCTTTTTATTAAGAACCTTTCACATTTGACCTTCATATGTAACTTACATGTCAAAAAAAGATTACTTTAAGTGCAGGAAACAGTCAGTTTTAGTGTATTGGTAGGGCTGTAGAGCCATCACCATGAAGTAATTTTAACCTGTTTCTATCAACAGCTCTGCAATGAGACATTGTACCAATTAAAACTCACCCTCCCATTCCCCTAAACCCAATCTACTTTTACTTTCTGTAGATTTGCTTAGTCTGCACACTTCACTTAAACGAGATCACACAATATATAGTCTTTCTGTGTCTGGGGTTTTTCTTGGGAAGAGTTAAAAATACATTTATTTATAAGATGTATGTATTATGTCTGACTATATGTATGTATGCATGTGTTCCAGGTGAATGCCTGGTGCCTGCAGTGCTCAGAAGAGGGGTCTTGTCCTTGAGAACTGGAGTTACTTGCAGTTATGAGCTGTCACATGGGTTCTTGGAAATGAACCTGAGCATCAAGAGCTCCTAACTACTGAGACTTCTCTCTAGCCCCGGCATAATATTTCATATTATGACATAATATTGCGGTTCTTCCATATTGTAACATAGACCAGTACTTTGTACCTTTTTATTATTCAATACTATTCCATTATCTGGAAATGCTAAGTCATGTTGATCCATTTATCAATAAGTGGACATTTGAGCTATTTTTGATGCTATCCCTGATGGACTTGATGTCTTCATTTCATTTCTGGCTTGCTAGTTGCAGTGTACAGAGATGCACAGGAACTTTTTTGAACTTACACTCTGCAATCTTGCTAAACTTTAAAAAAATACTTTTTCTTTAGTAGATTCTTTGAGATTTTTTTTCCTATTTTCTAAGATCATGTCATGTGTGACAGAGGCAGTTTTACTTCTTTCTTTCCATCTGGATGTTTTTATTTTGCTTATGGTTCCCGTGTCACCTCTCTCTAGTCTGCTGTGATGTTTCCCAGTTCAGACTCATTATCCAAGCTGCTCTGGTTCTCCTCTTGTACGCTGTGAATTTCACATTGAAACTTGAGGACTCGATGCCAAAAATAGACAAAAGGGAGAAAGAATCTAAGGGGTTCAAGTTTGAGTTTTGTTTTTCATCTGAGCCAACCTTTGTATTCTCCCTCCTAGGTTTCTGGCTTTAAAATGCTGCCTTTGGATTAGCTGGCTATGAAGAAGCTATAGTCAGAGAGAAGAGGAGACCATTGTTTCTCAATAGTTCAGGAAGAGATGGTGGGAACAATGGGCCTTGGAACTGGCCTGTGGAGACAGTATTGTCGCTATGGGCATCCCTCAACACCCCCATAAGATGTATTAAATTTTTTTAAAAGAAGATTTCTTTAGTGTTGCTAGAATGGACTAGGAGTTCAAAAGTATTCTGGATCCTTTGCTGAGGAGACCACCCGGATGCTTTTTGTGCTCTAATGGACGGCATCCACTGCCTTCTCAGGCTTGGCCTTCATCCTTGTTAATGACTGCTACTTTTATCTCTCCACTCTCCGTGTGGAAGCCTCTAATTTTGTAAGTATATATTAAGCAAGTGCTGGAGGTAGCACCCTCCAATACACGCTGTATATGGGGTAGGAAGTGAGCTGGTTGTGTTTGTGGATGGGGAGGACAAAACGTAAGGAACCACAATCCCTGTGTATTTGAGTTCTTGACAGAAGCAAGTTCAACTGTGATGTAATGCGAGGACAAGGAAAGGAGCAGACAGTCTCAAAACTGCAGGAGAATAATCACGTGGCTTAGAGCACATATGGTAAAAAGAACGACATAATGAGATGAAGGGACACTGCTACTATAAACTGGGATATAGCAATGGGAGAGACATAGTGTCTGCTGTTTAGATTCTGACAGACTGACAATTAACGGAAGCTCATAAATATTTTTTCAATGTTGTGGATCCCTTTGGCCTAGGAAGATGCCATGGCATGCTGTGTTCTGTGTCTTTTAATGTTGAAAAGGACACATTGTAAAAAGGTATTTTTGTTCAGCTAGTTCTGTTCCCCACCATCCCTCTTCCCCTCCCTGTCTCCTCCACTCTCCTTCTTCTCTCTCTCTTTTTTTCTCCTCCCTCACATAGCTAGGGCCTGGGCATTGCACATACAGCTGAGCTACATCTGCAGCCTCAGCCATCTAATTGCTAAACTAAAGGATATTTCTCTGGCGCTGTAAATCTAATCATATTATACTTTTAGTTACCAAACAAGACAACATCAAAACCAAAACTATATACATATGTATATATCTCCTAAAAATTTTAGACTTCTTGGAGGTAAAGTACCAAACTAGAAACTTTCCAAAACAGCTCATCTTGACTTTGTCTAACGCTGCTTTAATTCCTTCATGAATCGATTACTTTTCTCTGCCTAATCATTCTGTGATTATTATTATTATTATTATTATTTATGTAAGTAAATAGGAGACACAAACGCGGGAAGCAGAGTTCTGTCTATATCTTTGTGTAAATAATTTTTCCCTGTGTATTTTCACACGTAGATTTGAAAGTCTTACATTAAAAGTTGCACTTCACACAGACTGACAAATGCATGTCATAAGAAAGGAACATAATAAGCAAATGTAGTCTTGGCCCCTTTAAGACTAAATGGCAAAACGTTAGTGTTAGAGGTTTCTGAATTGGAATATAAAAATTGCTTGTTTAGGGGAGTGCCTCTTCCATATCTAGCTTTGAGTTATTTGGAGAGCCTGTATCTACTTAACTGAACTAAGATTCTAGAGTAAACTGCAAAACAAGCTGGTTGGGTATACATACTTCCTTGAAAGTTGATCAGTAAGAGGCCTCTAGGGCCGACAAGACTACAACTCCCAGAATGCTTCGTTCACTTTATAACGTAGGGAGTGCGACCTGTCACAGCACCTATCGCGCCACATCGAGACTACAATTCCCACTATTCTCAGAGGCTCCGGAAGCCCTGTTAAGCACTACCTGTTGCCATAGCATCCGGGTCTGGTCCAGCCAATCCTAGTGCAGCTTCCGATAAGAGGCGGGCAGCTTGCTTCTCAGGCTAATCCGAGGCGCCCTACTTCTGGCATGTGACCGGAGGAGGCGGGCTTTTGGGACCGGCGCCTTCTCCTTGCTTTTTGGGGTCGTGGCCTTGCTCCTGCCCGGCAAGGGAAGTGTCCTGGGCTTTCACGCGCAAGTGTGCGCGTGGGTCCTGACGTGCTCGTAGGTCCAGGCTCAGACTCTGCGGGGACAGAAGCAGGAGCCATGGGCGGGACCGCTAGCACCCGCCGGGTCACCTTCGAGGCGGATGAGAACGAGAACATCACCGTGGTGAAGGGCATCCGGGTGAGTGCCGTGGGCGGGCGGAGGGCAGCCCTTGAACTCGGATCCCAACGCAGAGATGTGCCTGGGACAGCTGCAGCTGCTTTCTCCGCTCTCGGCCCGCCCTGCTGTCCCGCTAGAAGTCTGGGTCTCTGGGAAGAAGCTCGTAGTTTCAAGACTCGGAACCTCCATTCAGAGAAAGTTCTTGGTTGTGTGCCAGGCGCCATGCACTGTGCTGGGGTGGTGGTGCCAGGTCACCGCAGTCGTCCTTGCTCACTAGTTGCAGGACTTTATTGAAACTCTTGCTTCACTGTGCCGGTCTGTGTGCCTCCTATACAGGACCCGAGCCCTTTTCCACGCACATTTCTCTCTCAGAGTGAATTGGTGTGTTAAGGATTACTCTTATAGCCTCTGTTATTCCATGTCCCTCTTCTGGTATCACCTCTTCCCCCAACACATACATACACTCATGCATTTAAGTCATTCCTGTCCCTGCTGGCTAATTTCTGACTTCTGGTTCTTTCCCTTCCACCTGATAATGTCGTTTTCTCAGGCACCTCCCCTGTGGTTTGTTGGCCCAAGTTTTGAACCTGGCCCAGTTACTACCGGCCCACAACTGCCAGCCTGGTAGGGGCGGAGGTCGGTTTGCGGTCCTTCAAGGTTGTAGAGCCAAGACAGTAAGTTCTAAGGGATTCGTTGTAGAGACTTCTTAAATGCCCTCTGCGTGTGCTTGACACAAGGACTGAAAACTTGAATTTCCTCTAGGGTGTTAGTATACACACTAGTAACTTTAATATTCTCCTTTGCCCCTGACTTTGGAGCTTCATGGTTTGGGAAATACACTTGTACCTAGTAAATAAAGCACTATGACTTCAGAAGGTTTTAGAGTACTTCATATTTTCTGTCTACTGCTTTTACACAACTACCCTTAATCAATTAACTATGTAAGAGTTACAAGGAAATAAAACTTTAAAAACATTTCAACTGTTTGAAAACTTTTTCCTTTGGAATTTGTTACTTTGAAAAGAACTTATTAAAGTTTCCTTGATTAGAAACTCCAGACTGTTGAATTCAGTTTTTGGGTCTGTGACAGCAATTCTCACTATGCTAGTGACAGAACTCTTTGCCTGTTGTGGTTTAGTTGGTACTTTTTGTAGTAAGATAAGAATTACTGCAAACTTGAGTTTTATTCAGAGATGGAGAAAAAAAAAAGGAAAAGAAAGTCTATTAAAGTCTTTGAATATTCCACACTAGAGAGTGAAAACTTTAAAAAAAAAGAAAGTAAATTTCAGGTGAGAAGATTTTGTTTAGAAAATTCATTAAGTCCATCTCCTCATGTGTCACCACAGACAGGCCAGTGACACAAATTGAAAAGAGTTTGGGCACAGCATAGAGATTCAGATACAATATCAGATAAGGTAGAGTGATAGGCAGGGCAGTAGGGATAAATGGTGAGACTGTTTTAAAGGACTTTTGTAAACTTAAAAAAAACAACTATGTCACACACACAACTTCAGCCACACAACTTGACATAAGCATCCTTTCTCAGATACATTTTATTTCTATTGTTACAGTGCAGGCCCAGGCAGGCTCGAATTGTATGCAGCTCTTTGAATGCCCTTCGAAAATTTCTCCTTTGCTTCTGGTCTTTTCAAAGATGGCCTGTAATCTCCTTGAGCGCCATCCAGTTTTCTTGTTCTTCAGACTGGTGGAGCTGAGTATGTCTCTCAGCTCTCTATTTTTATTCTGGCTCTGAAGTCACATGGGCTTCTTGACACTGTCAATTTTTTTGAGAACAAAATATAGACTGTTGCAGCTTTTCCCAAAACTGGTATGCTGTTGAATTGGGAGGACTTGGAGCCATTTTGGGTTCCTTGAGGTCATGGACAGGAGAAAGCCAACTTGGAATTAAGCTGTCATTTTTAAATTAGCCTGTGGCTCTGGGCAAGTCACTTCTCTGTTGACACATTCTTATTCGTAAAGTGGAATCTTATCACTTCGTTTGGTTAGGGTAAGAGGATAAAGTATGTAAAGCACCTGTTGAATTGTAGGCTTCTAGTTGATTATCATTATTATTAATTTTTGAGGTGCTGAGAATTGAACTTAGGCCCTCACATGTGCTAGACAAGCCGTGTACCATTGATCTATATACTTCCAAGCTGCTTTGTAGATTTATAAATAAGTGGTCATCATTATCATAAGGTTCCTTTCACATTTGAAATTACAAAGTTCTTTGGAATCCAACAAACCTGGGTTCAGATCTTTGTAGGATTTAGTATAGCTTATGGCATGGACAGGTCACCTTTGATTGCATTTCCCTCTCCAGTGTTTCACTGTAACTGCATATAAATGAGAATGAGGCTGTGTGTGTGTGTGTGTGTGTGTGTGTGTGTGTACGTGTGTGTGTGTACCTAGTCCTGTGTCTAGGCTTGGAGTTCCTCAGGAGAGCTGAAACTTAAATCCACAATAACTAAACAGAAGAGCGTGTCATGCCCCAATGAGAGACCCTTACAGAGTAGACTCAGGATCCTGAGGTCATCCATTTCCTGTGTGAGTCTTGTAAATTTCTTGTAGCTGCTCTTGATGCTTTTCTTGGCTTTGCTTTGCAGGCATGAGAACAGTAGTCTTAGCGTGAAAGCAAGGCTTTGTCTTTAGGCAGTTGCTAAAACACAGACAGATGAGGCCCAAACTTCAGTTTTGGATCTTTCGGGTTAATGCAACTTGGCTGAAGAAGGTTTTTCCAATTTTGATCAGTTTTACAGTGTTTAGCATCATCACTTGAGAAAATTAAAGAGTATACCAGTAATTCAGTACTCACTGCTGGACAACCAGTTTGTGTTCTGTCCCATTGATGAGGATAGCAATTTCATCTTCTGTTTTCCTAATAAGAAAGAATAGCATTTAGTGAGCAACAGAAAACTAACTAGGCTGAGTTTATTGATAGATTAATCATGAATATCCATATTGTTTCTTTTTTTGCTGAGGTGCTTATGGCTTGAGGTACTTAAAAGACCTACAACTTGAAACAGTGTCAAGTTTCAAGTTTCTTCTTGTTGACAGGCACTACTTTTTTATGATATATATATATATATATATATATATATGCTCTTGCTTTTTTCCTTATTTTGAGCTGTTGCTAGTATTTTTTTTTGTCCTCTGTAAAACAGCCTGTATTCTTACGCCTGGTTTCAATTTTGCATATGGAACTACTCATATGGACTGAATGAAGGATTACCCTCTTGCCTTGCACTGTCTCTAAGTCTCAAATACATTTTCTAGTGATAGAAAAACATGCACTTTTATTACTCACATTACATGTGCTTAATAGGATTTTTGTGTCCACCTGCTGTGCCTGCTTAGAAGGTATGTTTAGAACCCGGCCTTTCATAACTTTATCTAAAACATCAGAGCTGAGTGAGCTTTTTCAGAGCAAATGTCAACTTCAATGAGTATCATTTTCAAAGTTATACTTATCACTGATTCTGGCATAACGAATCTCTGCAGCTGGCCTTGAAGCTGCCAGCTGACATTCATAGGAGTCACTCAGAGCGCCATGCACACCTCCATGAAACACACCATGTGCTTTGGCAGATGTTGATAGCTGAAAGCCCCTAATTGAAGAGATTTCTTAATGTGGGATGCTGTAGAGGGTTTAGTGTTAGTAAGGGTTATGCATTTATTTGGTTAGCCATAGGAACTGTGGGTGATTTAGTTAGCTGATAGAGAATTGGTCCCTTTCAACTTTAGGGTTTGTGGATGACTTGGACCATCTTAAGTTTTCTAGGATTCAGAACACAGAAGCAAGCTACATGTGAACTGAAAAGAAAATGTTTTACAGAAGTGAGTCTGTGTGTTGTCCCTGCCATCCCATTTTGTCTCTTTTGTGTGGGAGTCAGGCCTTAAAAAGGTAGCAGGGAACTAGTGCTCACAGAAAATGACCTGTTCCTTTGTGGAGGGAAAATCAAGAGAGGAAATTGCACTGGTGTTCTTTAAGTCAATTTGATAAGAAACATCTAAAAACATCTAAAAACTGTTAGGGGCTGAAGTTGTGAACTGTTCTGTGTCATGTGACTGCCACATTTACCACCTCAAAGATAACTTGAGCTTTCCTCTCTGAGGGCAGAAGACTTTATCTTTGTTCCTCTTACTCAGCCTCCTGTGTCTGAAAAAATACTGAGTTCTGGATTGGTGGGTGGTATGTTTGTGTAAATTTTGGATAAGACCAAGCATAGTGGGTGGGAAGAGTTAGTGGGTTGACTAACTGATCTCTCTCTCTCTCTCCCTCTGGAGGCCACTGTGTGAGTCAACTGGTAGCCAAGTTCTACCTGCTTAAATGTCTTCGAATAGGGTAGATAGGCAAAGCCAGCTAATTCTGTCAATAGGCCTGCTTGTCGGAACACTCCTTATTGTAATGTGGTTCTTTGGATACATAGGTGGTCACTGTGAATTTTGTAAGGTATGGACTCTGCTTTCAACAATGCAGTGAACACAATTTTATTTACATCAAATTAATCCATAGACTCCAAAGTCCAGAGGCCTCCGGGTATAGCTTGTAGCATCAATAACTGTAGAGGGATGTTACTTCACATTTAGTATTTGTCTGGATAGAGATTCCTTTGGCACCTGGAAGGTAAGTGTAGCAGATGGGTCAGCAAATGGGAAAAGGCTCTTCTAAGACAAACATGTTTCCTGGAGAGTTTCCTCTTATTGAGGCTGCTTGTCCAGCTCTTACTGAAGCTTATGTTGTACTTTTGATTCCCACCTCTACCCAACTTTGGGTTGGTTTTTATCACAGAGAAAAGCTCAGCTGTTCTACAGCTATAGGTTGAGTGTGTGCCACCTTGGTCAGCATCTATCAGTCTTGTCTGCTGCCTCACAAGTGAGTGCCTCTTCCCAGAGATCAGATGAGACCTGAGTTGACAGGTGAGACCGTAGAGCATGGTTGCTGTGTTTGCATAGGCTGGGACAGCTGATAGTGCTCGAGTTCAGAAGGATTTGTAGCCTCAGGCTACCAGTACACCTCC